TGTATAGCTGTTCTAAGAGGGTTTTGCCAATGTTCTTACAGTATACAATGCTGTGTAAGGAATACTGTATAATCATTTTTGCAACTCTAATAGGAGTGATAATTGTTAGTTGTGCCGTCTACTACTCGGAAAGTACTACTCCTATTTGGATGAAATGTTTACGCAAGGTTAGTACTATGACAATGACGAAAAAGCTCTATAGATTTTGAAAATCTTCAAATCTGAATTTTCGCATTCCTCTGACCCTAATCAGTTCTAAAAAAACTGTCAAGAATAATAAATTGGGGCTATCGGTCTATTTATTAATTTCTAATCCCAATAACGCTACACGCCTATTAGGCATCTTTCATACATACATTACCTCCGTATATACAGGGTGTGAAGTTAGTAGTGGATCAACGGAATTCAGGTGATAGAGGGCCTCAAAACCTATCGAATGAATCCTATGTGTGGTCCGAAATTTTATAGTTCAGGAGATATTTGCACTTTTGTGATATTTCGAAAAAACGGGATAATGAACTTTCTATCGCAATTACAATTAAGCCATTAATTAGGCTTAGGGCTGTGATTTTTTTCTGAGATGAGCTAAATGGCTAGTTTTAGCAATGATTATATCACTTCTTAACAGAACTTATTAGAAATCAACGCAAAAAATCTTAAATTCATTTTTTTGTGAAAAATCTCTTTAATCTCTCAGCTTTGGCGGGCTGTAAAAAAATAAGGTTGTATTTCATTATTCATTTTATCGTAAAAACTATTTCAATCCATGTAGAATGAACCCTGAAAATTTCAGCTTGCTACGATGAGTGTATCATGTCACATTCGTTGTTGTTATCGCGATAAACCTAAGAAACGCAATAGAATCCTTACCACCTAAAAGTACAGAACCTATTGTGTTTAGCCGCTCTACGACTCACCGACTAACGTGGAAGATAATTTAATTTAACTGACTTTTAAGGAACATGTTTGAAATTGCCTACATTATTTTCTATACACAAGCGACACCTTCTAATAGAATTGACCTTTAGTCTTTGAAATAAGTTTGCGTTTTCCATAATATTTATTTTTGCTTCATCAATTTTCTGGCGCAGATTATCTCCTTTTAAAACCTCCATATAAAAAATATAGAGAATTTAAATCGAGTGACCTTGGAGGCCATCTTATGTGTCCACCTCTACCTATCCAACGCCCAGAAAAGACACTGTCTAAGTAATGCCGTACATCCCGTGCTAAGTGACATGGGGCATTGAAAAATACATGCGGCTTCGAACATGTAAAGGTACATCCTCTAGCAGCTCATGCAAACTGCTTTGTAGAAAATCAAGATATGACTGACCATTCAACCTGGCGGGCAATTCATATGGTCCAATTAATTTTTTGTTGAGTACTCCAGCCGATAAACTAACGCCGAACTGACGTTGAAAGCTGTGTCGGAGAATAGCGGGTGGATTTTCCACGCTCCATGAATGGAAATTGTGCATGTTGAATATTCCATTTCGGTTAAAGTTGGATTCATCTGTCGATAAGATGCTGCCGAAAAAATTTTCATCCTCTTCGCACCTTCTCAACATATTCTCAAAAAATTAAACCCTTTGTGCATAGTCTCTTGGAAGCAATTCTTGTACTTTTTGTGCATGATAAGGATGCATGTTCTTCGAGCGTAGTATTGTGTGCACTGAAGTATGGCATATGTTCGGATAGTGTCTCTGAGGGATCTCTCTCGGCTGCTTCTATTATATCTATCTACATCAGCTGACGATGAGTGCCTAGTGTGCGGCCCACCATACACGCATTATGGACGCTTTGAAAAACGCGGGATATACCGCCGGTTGTGGTCCACCCCTTCTAACCACATACTCCCGATACATGCAAGCAGCTGTTCGAGCATTTCCTGGGGCAGCAACATAGTAGTAATGAATGCATTTCTGCATAATCTAGCGGAGAATATGACATGAATCTACTCAGATGCCAAACGTTAGATACAAATTCCACGCTGGACCATTGCTTGACTTAGTAATTTCGGTCGGACCGATTTGGCTATTTGCGTCAAAAATCCGCCATTTTGATTTTACAAAATGTTAATACACACAGTATCACTCGTACTGCTAGGACGAATCTAACAGTACCTCATATGTCAAAATCAATCACCCGTTTTTTGGTTAATTAATAAAACACAATGATATACTATATGTATACTATCTAACGGTTGGTTCAAGCAAAACAGTTGTCTAGTGGCGTGCAAATTTAGGCCCTAGCTCAGTAAAGCGGAGAGTAGGGGGGGAGGGTTAAGAGAGCCAGTGACTTAGGACGGATTAAGCCACAACTCTCCGAGATGTTAGTCGGAACTTGTTTTGCTTGAACACAACAGAAAAAGAGAATCTAACAGAGATGACGAAATTTAAGTAACAGTTCACACAGAGAGAGCCAAATAAACAAAATATTAAATGAATCACAATATATTGATTAATAAAAAAAAACGCACATGTGCTCCACTACTGGAGTGCGAGTAATAAAAAAAGAAAGGATGTTATACATCTTAAATACAACCTGACAAAATTATTTTTCGAGATAAACCCCCGAAACGTCTACCATGGTATACGCCCGAAGTATTTACAGATATTTTGCGCCTAAATATTAAACTTAAAAATTATAGTAGCAAAGAAAAAAAAACCCTGTTCACATCAGGGTTTTTTTTTCAAGGGGATGGCTTCCACCAATTTGCAAAACTGCAACAGATGCAACCAACTGAAGGAGGAGAAAGGATGATGATTCTCTTCTGTTTCTATTGACGCTGAGGGTCAAAAATTCCATTAAAAAATGGAAGACGTAGCACCCAAACCAAACTGACTAAACTTAAGTTACACAAAAATGAATTGGCGCTTGGGGCCTAATATTCCAGAGTCCGGAAAATGACGAAACGACCCCTGCACCGCGACCTCTACGGAAACAGAAAAACGAATCACGCCGAACACGTAACGTTCTAGAACAAGGTATCTTGAGTGGCCTTGAAGAAAATATGTTTTATCGGAAACCAACTAATGGAGAAAAACTACGGAGTTTTTTGCTGATCGTCAGCAACATACTGAATCGCTGAGAAAGAAAGATATCATACGAGTGAAATTATACAATCAATAAACTAATAAATTTGCCAAAAGAAAATCATTGAAAAGGCTTTGGCCTAGGAATGGATACTCTATTATCAATGAAGAGAAATTAAAATTACGGATAAGTGATAAATAGTAAAAAAAAGGTTACATGATTTTGGCACGTGACAGTGGTTTGGACTGTAGCTCGTAAAATAGAATGTCTTGTTAACATTTATAGATACCCACCTACGTCAAATATACAGATTTTTTAAGGTGAGGCACTTATCGTAGCAAGCTGAAAGTTTCAGGGTTTATTCTACATGGATTGAAATAGTTTTTACAATTTTTTTGAAATTTCACAACTACTAACTTTACACCCTGTATATTAGCGCTATATATATTATCGAATATAGGTAATCATATATAATGACAATCTTAGGACTGTAGTAATTAGAGTGTGAAATGACAAATAGATCTCTGCGAATATGAAGATACCATATTTTGTGGAATGAAGGATCTTATCTATTTTAGTACCTTTTTCCCAAGCAAATAATACCAGGCTGTACTAAAAAGATGTATTCGATTATTTAGAAAAATAAACAATACGATCTTTCCAATCATAATCATTATTTTACATGACCAGCTGTAGAGGTTTCCATAGACGACTAATGACAATCTTGCCAGAACATGAGAAAGCTAATTCATATATTATACATCATCTGTAGTCCTATGCCATTGTTGGTCAAATCATCAGTCAGTTTTTTCACTGATATCTATTTTATTCTACGGCCGTATTCAAGGATACAAGGATTTTCATCCCGAAAAACAATAAAGATACCAGAGCGTACAAGAGTTTAATCAGGAACAAAATTCTTCATATACAAAGTCTATTCGACCAGAATTGCGTGGAAAAATCAACCTACTTGATGCCATTTTTTGTAATAGGAAACAGAAAATGATAATCTGGTTTATAACGAGATGTGAGAATTAAAGGTGTTGGCTACGCCCATGTATAACGTCATCATTGTTTCCGCCTCCCGTCAAGGTTTTTGTTTTGATCTGGCTTTCATTTTTCCGTGTGTATACAACAGACATGACATAGTGGCTTATGGAGATGCTCTTTTACTAGCGCCAGCCATTGTTTCTCACAAGAAAAGGTCATGAAAAGAGGAAGATTGCGCGGCTGCTGTTATAATTCGTAGCGGCTCGTGGGGAAAAGAGGCGGATGCGTTTCTTTGTTTGAAGTTCGAGCATGAAATAGAATTAATAAAATTGTCCCCAGAGGAATTCGTAGGTTCTAGTACGCTCAGCTGCTTGAACCATATCCGAAAAACTATTACCAGAAAACCAGCCCACCTTAAGCCATGTAGGGGGGCCCCTGAGAATATAGGAGCCCAAGCCTAGAGATGGCAAATTCCCGATAATTTATAAATTGGTAAAAATGATCGGTAATTTTCTGTAACATTCGGTAATATTGGTAATATTATAATAAAAAAGAGGAATAAGTATTTTCTTATTGAGAATTTGTATTATTTGGGTAGGTCGGACCATAGTCTCAATTTCACATAATAAGCCTTCTCTAAAACTATGTGAATTATTATATTTTTTACCATTACTGCTTCCACTAAAGGATTAATAACAAAGCAAACTTCGAATTCCTGATTCCCAACCTCATTACAGGGAATGTCAAATACAATAAAAGGGTGAAGGATACTAAGACATAATATCCTAGTAGGCATTGAGTACTGGTTGTAGATTGTACACAAGCTGCAATTTTAGAATCATAATTTTTTATTGCCTTTTTAATAAAAGGAATGTGTATACATACGATATTAATTGAATCATAAATATTTCTCAAAATAGGTAACATATATCCATAAAAAAAACTGAATACAAACACATATATTACTGAAATCAGTCTTCTTTTAAGAGATCTGTAAATTTTAAATTAAAAGGTACATTCTACAAACAAATAACAAAACAGGCATGGAAAGGTAAGCGATAATAGTAAATCAATCATTAATATCAGATGCTCCAGTTTCACAGCAGAATGTAGTACTGTGAACAGAATATTCTCCGTCTTCATCGTGGGTTGATGAGGATTCATAATTTTCATTAATTTCGCGACGTGCAGGCGTTGGCAAAGTAATGGCGACAGGATTTTGACTTGGCCTTACTGTTGGCTCTTTCAATGTGTGTGTGACCAGTAGTTTTTTATTTGTTGAAACTAACACCAATTTCCCAGCTCTTTATGTGGAAAGTTTGTTTCTACGCCTATTATGTAAAAAGGCATATCTGCTGAATGACCTTTCAGTAGCAGCGAAACTTGCTGGAAGAGCCAATACAGCAATAGCTACATCTTTTAAGTGAGTTTTTGAACAAATTCCCCTTCACCAAGCAATTGGATCGGCAATCCGACCTCTGTTCCAAACGAACTCCATACCCCATAATTCATGTTTTCCTAAATAATTGGCCAGCTCCAAAGAAATCCTGTTTTTGTTCTGTACGAACAACGGATGATTATAAATTAAAGTATCAATGAATTTCATAGCTTCTACATGTTCAATGTTTGAAAGATATGCACCAAAATAGTTTAGATCTAATAAGTTTGCAGCGAGGTGCATTGGCTTCTTTTTTCAAAGCTTGTGATAAGATCTTTTTTCTCATTTGCCTTTACTGACATGTTCTCTATATTTGTAAGCAGATACTCCTTAATTTCTTTAATTCCCACAAATACTTTAGACATGGTCAGTTTATAAATGGTTGTCCTTTCTCTAGCCAACTGTCAATACAGTTTGATATAGATCCCAGCGAGTTTTGACAGGTAATTTCAAACATTTTTGTCTTCCATACTTTTCAACCTGTATTTTGGTTAAACTTGTCAGATTTATTTGGGAACCCGAAATCTGTTTAAGGATTTGTTTACAAGATTTTTCTAAAATTGAGAAGGATTGTCCCCAATGAACAGATTTAATGTATGGGCTACACAGGAGTAGGAGGATATATATATATATATATATATATATATATATATATATATATAAGGGAAATGTTCTAATACTATTTTTTGCCTTTTCCATGGCTGATGCGTTGTCGGATAATATCCCAATTACCTTGTCCCCACCAATTTGAGAAATACAGCGTATCAATTCTTGGGCTGTGTGCCGCTCAATGCCTGTCGCCATCGTTTTTAATAAAACAGGGGTGGGCGTGGTTACTACAAAATTGATAATGACCTCATTTCTAGCATTAGACCAGCCATCACACTGAAAAGCTAGTGAATTTGCTGTATGTATTTTTTTCCAAACTTCTTCTTCGGCTTCTTGAAAATCGTTGTCCAGATATTTTCCAGCTATATCTTTTCTTGAAGGTTTTTTGAAAGACGGCCTGATATTTGCGAAGAAGTCCTTCCACTGCGAATCATCAACTATTGAGAAATGACAACCAGACGAATAAATTGCAGCAGCAAGTTTCTTACTTAGGAGTTCTTCTTGGTGCTCGTCTATTTTGTCAACAAACCTATCTAGTGTCGCCTTACTGGAACATGAACCCCATAGACTTAAGCTATCTTCTGACTGGTTAGTTTCTTGATTAGCTGAAACAATGATTCACATATTGAATGTGTTTTTCAACGAATAATTTTTGTGGATATCTTTTCTGGAGTGTAACAAAATAAATGAGGCTTCAAGATTAGTGAAATGCAACTTTAACAGAAGCGAATGCCTGGCATAATTTTTCGCTTGGGATAAAGAAAGATCTCAACTTCAAAACGTACGTTTTTTATTTTCTATGTACTTTTTATTCCACTTACCTTTATTTTCACACATATTTTTTGGACATTTCAAACATTTCATCAGATGATTTGCCATTCGTGTCGCAGTCCTTGCATATTCCTTACCACAATAAATACACCTATATAGAGTGTGGTTTTGCCTTTTCTGCTTTCGAAAATGCTTCCGAATAGGTATTGCTTTTTGGCTTAACTAATGTTAGAATATAAATATGACAGCAAATATTAGACCTGACGGAAGCCTTAATGCCAAGTAATCATAGGTTTTCACCTCTTCAGCGAAACGACTGAGGATCGACTGACTAGTTCTGACAGGAAAATAATTCGCGTTGCAGCGTTGCAGCACACACTACGAATATACGTTCCGACTCATATCATCGGGCCACCGCGCTAGGCTCTGAGAATATTCCCGGTAATATTCCGCAAGATTCCGGTAATATTACAGCAACTTACGTAATATAACCGTATGTTCTCTTGGTAATATCACCCTTTGCCATCACTACCCGTGCCTATTGCTGACAGGGCCCCAGCGAAATCCGGTCACTACTAACATCTATTGAAAACTGGCACAGTTATTGGTCCCTTTCTTTTTATGATATACGCGAACCTAACCCTATCACATACCATATTATTCCAGTTTGACGCAGCTAGACCGCTAGACCCAATGAGATTGCATATGCACGAGCAAAAATATTCTGCTTCTAATTCCCAAAAGTTCCTAACGGTTGATTCGAGATAATGTTCACAAGACACTAAGTAGGTATTAATTGGAATGATGAGTATCTAGATTTGTGGCACCTAAAAGTACCCAACCGAAGATAGTTTCAAAGGCCGAAGGTTGTCCTTGAGGTCCTGGGATTCTTCCTGGCTTGACGATTTCGGCGAAGAGTTCTGCACCTAATAAAAAGACAATAGGACCAGGAATATGAAACTGATCATCTGCGAGTTTCAGATTTGAAATATAACTCCGTGACGATGGATCAACCGGAACTTGGGATAACTATGTTTTGGTAAAACTAAGACTTGAATTGTGAAAGTAGATTAAGACTGACCTCTGGGTTTGATAGTAGAAATGCCCTTAGTAGCTGACGATCATTGATTTAGTCCAAAGACAGAGATCGAATGTTGGTTTCTTCATATGCCCAATCGGTTCAGATAAGATTGGCTTATAAAGTTTACCTGACTTCTAGTTTGAGGGTTGATAGAAGCACAGTGGTTCTGAGTGTCGAGGTAGACAATGATGTACAAAAATTAGTTAATGGATTAAGTTGTGATGGGTTAGATTTATCTTGAATCGAGTTTGAAGTGATTTGATTATGACTCGACGAACTTTGGATTGAGATTGGGTTATTTTGACTATAGTCATAATTGGAATGACAAAGATTAGAGTTAAGTTGATTTGGATTGGAAACTGGTGTCATTAGATTAGCATTAACTTGAGTTGGATTGGAATCGATAGAATTATGATTTTGATTTTTATTTTGACGATAAGCAACGGCCGATTGTGGCAGATGTATGAAAGTGTGGTAGTGATAACGGTAGATTATGCAACTGAATGTGCGTGCGCAATTACGTAAAATATTACGAGTATTAAAACGCAGTTTACGCATGCGTTGTGCTGTTTCACATACGCAAACTGGTCAAATGAACATAGCACATTGTAACAAGGGATCATACAGATTTTTGTATTTGAGTATGTACTTGATTGAATTTTGATTTTGAGATGAAAGATTTGTGCTGGGATTGTTCGATTGTGGACTCACTCTTACATAGAAAATGTAAGGCGGATTTGATATGTGCGGGCTTCTGTTATTATTAGAATTTGGATGATTCAGTTTCTATTATTGCCGCCCGTACTGGGGTACATTGGGGAGTTTTGACGAGTTAACAGTATAGTTTCTAGAGCTCTGCAATGATTTTTAAGGAATTCCATAAGATTTTGGTATGTCGGAATTTCGGTAGTAATATACCTGATCTTAAAAGCTGTTCTAGTAGTGTGATCCAGTTTTTATAAAAGTATAGAAAATAAACAAAAGCACCAAGAGTGTACTGGAAATCCAAGATTTTGGAGTGCAGCAAAATTTTAGGAACATGCATCAGTTAACAATATAAGATCTTTAGGGGAATTATTTGATTGTAAATACTTTGCATTATAAATCGAGTCCCAATAGTCGAACATTTTGATATCTGTTTGTTAGTGTATTCCAGGCGATTTCGTAATTTGACTTTGTTAGTTTGATTGAGCTCAAAATGTTCAATGGTTCACCCTCTAAGAAACTAAGTAAATATTTGAACCTTTTGATATCCCAGTATTTGGATTGTTATGAACCAATGATAAATAAACATCGCAAAAATTAGGCCAATTTTTCAGGTTCCCATTGAATGTAGGCACTTTCAAAGGACCTAAATTATCGCTATGTGATGGAACATCATGAATTACTGGAGTGAGACAGGGCTGTTGAATGGGAGCGGGAAAAAACTAGTAAATATTGTTCAAAATGACCATCTAGTCATTTAGTGATTCAAAATACGACTGGAATGTTGATTTGAGTTTATCGTCAGTTTTCGCTTTTATTCCTAGATTGTACGCCTCTGTAATATGTACGTGATATTGCTGTATTGCGTTGAGCCCTTTCAAAGACATGATTCTGAATATTTAGAGTAACACCTTTTATTTTTCTTGAAAATTAATAAAAATGATTTGCTTACTATGCTGATATCCTGAACAGTGTTTACTCCAAAAGTTTCTCAAAAGGCACTAAGAACACAGCTCGGTCTTACTTATATGAATATGTTCAACAACAATCTATATAATATATTAATTTCACGAATTTCACCAGCTGACAACACAATTTTCCTTTTTATTCGAACGCGTTTTGCGACTGAGCTACGAATTAAGAGGAAGCAAAACTGTGCGAGGGAATATACAAGATGTCGAGAATAGTTACTTAATTTTTAATTATACTTTCATGGAAAATTTTAAAAATCACCGGAAAAATCCGGCTCGAAGGACCAAAAAATATTCCTGCAAAGATGAGTTTTGAATTGTGGACTGTAAGCGCGTTCTGATCTAGATACAATTAGTGATCAAGTAATCCACACCCAAACCACACAAAGATAATGTAGGATTGACACCTACCTGGGTGTTCCTGCCGCTTGGCTTGGAAAAGCTCCATAGTTCTGTATAGAACTAATGGGTGAGATTTTTGGTAGATTTTTGAAAAGACGAACGTTGCAAGTGCGAAAAGGTTTGATTTTGTATAGCTTTTGAATTCAAATAATGACATATTTTTGCATGAATAATGAGCCTGTGGTCAAAAAGCTCGATTTCACTGGCTACAGGCTTAACGACTTGATGAATTTAAACATATGACGTGTTGTTGAAGTCATCTTAGCACTTCGAGTGATATTGTCTATATCAAAATTTCATAAAAACAAAATGGCGTATTTTAATGGAAAAATAAATCTCGAAAATGCTATTTCACGGGGTACAGCTTTATCGGTTCGACGGATCTTGACACATAAGGTGTCTAGATTTGCTTTTGCAGTGCGAGTGACACTGTCTACGAGCATACTGTTTTTTTTAATCAAAGCGGTAGAGTTTAATAGCAAATGTCAACTTTGAAATTTATTTTTCATGGGCTGCAGCCCGAATGGCTTGATGGATTTTGTCATTTGAGGTGTTGTATGATTAGTCTTGATAGCACAATTGAATCTTCATTTTTTCCATCTACTGTAGTCGCGTTGTTTGTATTTTTTATAAATGTACTTGTTGTAATTTTTGCATGCAGGTACACTTGGCGCCACTTGTATGAGGTCCCCCTAAAGCTTTTGTCCTGTCCTATTATTTTACCCTTGGATAGCTATGCTTCTACATAGAATACAATGGATTCAGGTTTCCAGGATTTGGCTGCTTGAATATCATGAGTTATTTATGCACTGAACCTCCCTGTAACACGTGGCTAATTTAGTAATGAATAGGTTGGAGTGGCGACATCAATAAAGTGCATCGGCTTATTGGGCAAAATATACAGTATCACACATGTTGCGTCAAATCAGACCGCTTCGAACCTGTGAAATCTTGATAATCAGTACTGCAAACAATTCCGTTTCCTTTTGGTAAATATTATCGAACTCAGAGTCGGGCTAACAAATTCAGACATCAGGATTAAGCTTTATATTTTTTGACTATTCGCCGGGAGCGAATTGTTTGGGGACAGAATCGCCGAGCACGTGGTGAACAGAAATAGTAACATCATCGGACTGATAGTGGCTAGTGGCATCTGTATCTTTCTTGGTATCCGCGTGGTCAACTAAGCCCTGATAAAGGTTTAAATATTTTCCGGCATCCTTTGTTAGATCGAAAAATGGCGTCAAGTAGGTTCCCAGGCAATGCCCTTAACAGTAAGTACATAAAGGAATATGATTGTTACTGAAATTAATCTTTTATCTATTGTCTCTTTAATATGAAAAAGAAATAATTTATACCCCTCAAAAGCGGCTATAAAAAAATGTTTTTACTCAAGCTCTAGCATCTTTAATTTTTTCATTTACTATTATTAGATCAATAAATTTCTAAGAATTTACTCCTCAAAATTCTTCAAATGTATTAATAGTAATTTTAAATTCTTCACTATTTTTAAAGACTGGAGCTGCTTCCTTTCATGCCTAATTCCGTGAAGTAATAAAAGGATTAAATTGAGGTAATAGCTTTATTAAACTCACCTGCCCCTATGATAATTTTTATATATAACTTCTCCACCATGAATTGTTGTATTTTTCCTATTATTGGAGCTATTATAGGCTTAAATCAAATTAGCCCTCAAAAAAGCTTAGCTTACTTCTCTATTAACCATGTTGCTCAAATACTTGCTAGAATAATATATTTTAAAATAATTAGATTTGTTTATTATATTCTATATTCAACTATAACTTTAAATTTAGCAATATTTTTTTGATATTTTAGTATATTTTATACTAATCAATATATAAGAATATTTTTTCAGGGCTAATGTACAGAGAAGTCTACGATGTGTTAAATATGTCTAAACGCTGAGTAGAATTACCAATTTTGGCAGCATATACATGTACCAGTATTAAAAAATTGACAGATAAACCCACCCCACCAGCTCACAATCCCCACCCGCAAGTTTTTTTAAAATTCTTATTTCAAAAATGATCAGCATCCTCTGGAAGGCCAAAAAACGAATTTTAAGCGATTCTTATTTTTCCGTTTTATGCCTTTTTCTTTGCCGCCACTGGGCCGATATTCAAAAACTTGGCATAGTAGTAACATTTTTTAAAAATTTCATGGAAATTCGAGCAGCAAATCGACTGAATGTAGGTTATCCTCAAACAATAATTGTTAAGTCTCAAATTCAATGACGATCTCCAGCTATGCCTCCAAGACATCTATAAACAACAGCCAACCCAATCGGTATACTATACCTGAGATGCTTATTCGGAAGAATTGGAGGTGTTTGCAAAACATTTAGCATCAGAACTGTTTTCGAAACAACTAACACTCTGATATCCCTACTGTGCCGCACAAAACCAACTAATGAATATGTATAGGCGCAAGAAATGCAATATATAAAATAGACTGATTACGCTAACTGCTATATTGGCAAAATATCGAGACCTGTTATAAGTAGGATTAAAGAACATACAGGCTATATAACAAATAGAGAAATAAAGCCAGCTCGAAGCGAGCATCTAAGGGAAATAGGGCATAGGGTTAAATGGGAGGAAGTCTCAGTATTGGATAACAATAACAAGAGAAAGGTGAATGAATCAGCGTTTATAAAATTAAACAACATTTGTCTTTCTAATTGTTCTGAGGACTGTGACCCAATTTGGCTAGTATCTTAGAAGAACATATCTAGCTGATATTCTCCAAATCTGGGGCTTTTTAAGTAGATGTTTTACTTCGCTATCTGCAGGACAAACTGTTTGCCTGATATTATTCATTCACAAGACAAACATGTTGATGTTGAAGTACTATTTCTGGCATATCACAGCCATAAACAACGCACTTGCAGTCTTAGATTGCATAACAATTAACTGGTGTGTCAGAGGACTGCAAACCTCATCCTCGCTTGTCGCTTGGGAGGGTTAGACGTCCATTGGGAGTGGGAATGACTACCCCACGTGGTCCAGGGCTTTGCTGGTTTTGCGCCGTGCCATCATAAAATTGCAATTACGTCTTTGTGCAATCTCAGCATGTTACAGGACCATTGTAGTAACATACTGCATAGGACAGAAAACAAAATATATTTTCTCATAATTGTAAATTGTACTTGCAAAAGGCAACAGTGGTTGTCGAAACGTCATACAATAAACTGAAATCTAAACATATATGTTTATATATAATATGGCTTCGATTCGGCCAAACAATGGAGTCCTACAAACAAGAAAACCACAGGATAAGTTTTAAGAGTTACATAAACTTTCATCATGATTAGGTCAGGCCGGGAATACTGCTATTATTGTCTAGGGGGTTGCTATTTAGACAGTGTTGCCCATCCTCAAAGAAGCGTCGATTGTAACGATTTAGTGATATGTCGTGGGAATTGACTAGCCAAGTCTAATATTCAAGATTACATAGATTATAGTATAACGTACAATTTCAGTGATATAATTGAAATACTCGAATATACTAAAGTTCACAGGAATGTAATGCAAATTGAGGACACCTCCTTAATAAATAGTAATATAATGTTTCTCACCAACAAGCAGCCAGTGATTCTGTATGTACCTGCATGAGGTCGGCGCGGTCTTGATCTACTAAATGGAGTTTGTCAGTCTTATAGTGTTCATTCCAACTCAAAAGTCGAAAAGAAAATCACAGATTCCAGCTCAATTCGACCCTGGACTGTTTGATAATGGAAACTTGTGCCAGTTAATGTGTTTTTGAAATCTGGTAAATCTAGTACAACCCGGATATGTTTGTTTAGTTTTCATAATACACTACCCATTGTTAAGGAAGTATAATCGCAAGTAAAATATTGACCTGCAGTCATTATACTCATTAATTGCAAATGACATCACGGATAGATATCTGAAATTCAATATGTCAGAATTGTTTTGTGGAACTGTGTTTTCTTTTCCCCTCTACTTCCCAGGGCAATCATAACAAAGAAAAATTAGATATTATGTTTTTGAAATAAACGACAGGTAGATCCCGAAAAACGATGACACTATTTGCCTGGCTGTCAGTCATTCAGTCTGTCACACACACAAGGCTACTTATCTGCCAAGGATGAAAAAGCTTTAGAGGTTTTTTAAATCGACCAGTGGTGTTGGAGCTACGGTCAAAAATCCAAAAATGATAAAATCGCGCAAACTGTAAATGTTCGCATCTTCGCAATGAATTATGTTCTGCTATTGAGAAGCTTCTGATCCCGCACGTGTATTACGTATCTTGACAAGTGACATTTTGTGGTTTTTTTTTTGACATTGTATTGGTTTTTTGTGACATTATGTAGGTTTTTCTACAAAATACTAACTTAGCACTAGCTGATGGACACCTTGTGAACTCGTTTTGCAGTTGCACATGTTGCCTAAACGTCATGAGGCTACAGTTATCAATGTTTGGCTCTGATGTGATGTAAAATCTGCTTCAGAGATGGCATTACTGGAGGTCTTAGCTGTAAGTTGTATACTATAGCTAGAAGGAAACGGCAATGTATAGGTGCATAGTGAGAATTTGTGTGTTAATAATATCTGTTGATGATAGTTCCATTGGATTCTTGTTTCAAATACACTTGCTTGATATTGAAAGCTAGAAATTAGTTGCGCATCCACTTTTTCTTGTCCATTCTGGAAATTACATATGCAAATTTGGTGAATTTCAAAAATACGAGAGATAAGCGGCGTGGTTGCGATTTCCCGTAATTCTCCTCGATGTTTTTGATAATCATCCAGATGCGATCTTGCTAGTCAACCAAATTTCTTCTCAGAGATAAAAACTACAGACTACTCGGCTTGACAAAACATATGCAACCAACATGCCTCCACTCTGGTAGTGACTGCCATGTTCACCGCCCGCAATCGTCCGATGACACCAGTAAATAGCCTTGGAAACGACATGGGTACAAACATGGCACCGCGCAGACCACTTTCTTGGCAAAAACTCTCGGCAACATAGGCATGCGGTGCATATTTGATCACGGGTTGGCGGAAATTCCAGTGGCAGCATTAGGAATACTTGAAACTCTGTTTTTGCATTTTATTATTTGTATCATATTTAAGTAGACTTAACGTATCCTTTGCATATATAATAGTATTATCTTAGCTTGTAATATATTTTTTTTGTTATACATGTGTGCAGTTAGATTTTTTCTTAAGAGATGTTAATTCAACCCAGTTTCATTTCAGCAGCTACTATTACAACATATGCAATGGTAGCTGCAAAGCAGCAGCGGTGGCGTAATCGTAGACGTTATGGGTCTCCTAATCGTACGATGCGCGGGTTCGAATCCCGTCCCAAGATAATTTTCTGTTGGCTATGGATGTTGTGATTATCCATAGTATCACCCGGCGGGTCCCTAGGGCATGTTTCCTCGCTAGAGTCCGTGTGGAGTCCCATCCTTTCCCCTGTATCCCCCTATAGTTTATATAATAATAAATATAAAAAAATATTGCTGCACATTTATATATAAAATAATTAAGAAAAATCTTGGTAATCATATTTAATCTTCTAGAAATCTGTTCAAAGTAGGTCGGCCCATTTCACACATGCAATTGCTTTGGTCGTTTTTGTTAATCATAGTCATTATTCTCTTGTTGGTCGTAGGGTATTATAACATAACATAAGGCTTGTCAACCTTATACATTACACAAATCAATAAATTGCACGGCATGATCAGTATGTACAGATGTTACAGTGTCAAGGAATAGACAAATAGCTAAAACAAAAGAAGAGTGAGTTAGAAATAAACGTTATTTAACTGGTCAGAGAGTTGCATATTAGGTCGACTCCATTCTTTTAGGAGAATGGGAAAAGAAAGTAAATACAAAAATGTATCGAGTAATCGCTAAACAAGGTAAACAAAACATTAAGCTCAAAAACAGCAAGAAGTGAAAGCATCTACAACCTACTTTACTCCGACGTTAGTAGGTAAAAGCTAGAAATGAACCTATCTTATTGCCATAATTTTCTTCCAACTCAGATTCTTCAAGCAAACGTATATCAAAGCAATGAGGACCTAAACTACCGCACGCTGTATCTACACATTTCTGCTTCTATTTTTGTCTATAATTTTCTTCTGCTGTCGCCATGCCCATAAGATCTGGTTAACCCACATTAAAACGGCTAAAATGGACACCTTTTGGGAGCAAACGCGTCATCGTTTAATAAGGCCCAATTGGCTGGTTCAAAGGTTAGTTGGTACTTATGTGGAACGCGGCCAAGGCATAATAGCGATGTCTCGCTCACTTAGCTCGTCAATACTACGGGGCACTTTGAATGGGCTTAGTGGATATCATGAAAGTTGACTATAAGGTCATTATACAGGATGTCCCAGAAATTAGTGGACAATATTTCGGAATCACGTAGAAATAATATATTTATTTATTTATTTATTTATTTATTTAATTACACCACCAACAGTTTATAAACCAATTACTGGTGGGAAATACAGTACATATATATAAAAATTACAAAATAAACTAATTGCATTGATTGCTTAGTAATTATCAATAAGAACGCATGAAAAGCTACCACTGATCATAGCTCAATCAAACTGTGGTAGCTCTAAAAAAACTACCGCTTTACATACTCTCTTAATACTAGAAATGGATGTGTTGAAGATATCAAAATAATTCATATAGTCATTATAACATGAGCATATCGAATATAGCGGTGAGTGCAGCAGTAGATTCGTTCGTGGGGTAGGTAGGTAAAAGGCAAGGTTGGCCCTTGTTCGTACTCTAGGTGTATTGAAATTTAGCATAGACAAAAATGATGGACAGTCATGTTGGTAATTTATAACTTTGAACAAAAAGACTAAAGATTGTATCTTCTTTACATCAACCTGACCATTAGAATCTAAAACACCTGCTAGGAATTGAGTTAAACAAAGTTTGTTGTTGTCGACCTTCCTTTTAAAAATCCATGTTGTGCTGTAGAAATTGAAGAACTTACGTTGTATTGTATGAAATTATGTAATAACATTTCAAACGTTTTCGAGAAATTACTCACAATAGTGATAGGCCTATGGTTTTCAATTAATTTACGGCTTCCATTTTTATGGATAGGTCGAACCTTGGCTTCACGCCAAATCTCAGAAAATGTATGTGATCTGATACTTAGGTTATAGATTTTAGTTAAAGGTGCAGCAAGAATAGGTGCAAAATTACGGATTAAGAATGCAGGTATACTATCAGGTCCACTAGTGAACTTGTTTTTCATTTTCTTTAATGCCATAAGAACCTCATTTTCTGTGAAGCTATTCAACACAATATTGTTTGTAGCAATAATATCATCATCTGGCCTAGCTGCTACATTGGGGGAAGAACACACAGACTGGAAAAAATTAGCGAAGGCATTTGCTATATCAACAGGGTTATTGAAAACACAATCATTGTGAGTGAATTCAGAAGGTGAAAGGCCACTGTGCCTTTTACTTTTGATGAAGGACCAAAACTGATTTGGATCTTTTTTTATGCAATTTTCAGTCTACTCGATGTACTTTTTATACGCATGACTAACGCCTCTTTTAATTTTGTAAAATGTATCATAGACACTCACTTCTTGACATTTTTTGTATAATTTATGTAGCGAATTCTTTTGTTTAATATCCTTGATGATTGCGCGAGTGTACCAGGGTCGAAATTTGCCAGGCGTACGCTTAGTTTTCGGAATACACATGTTGAAAATATTTATTAGGTTATTGTAGAATAGAGTGCAAGCAATATTGACATCCACAATATCCTCAAGACATGACCAGTCCATAAGTGTCAATTGTTCATACAGTGTAACAAAATCAGCTTTGCGAAAATTGAAGGTAACATCATTTGATTGTGACCAGGTTTTGCTACGAGAGTTTCTGTGTAATGTAATACAAAGTGGAGGATGATGTGAGTCTTCGGGCAATAGGTCATCGTATGCTCTAGTCACCAAGCACGATTTGTTGGAGAACACTAGGTCAAGCAATCTATTGTTAATATTAAGAATTTGATTGTATTGTAAGAAGTCAAAATATGCTGTAAAGGAGTCAACTACATTCAATTTGCGTGATGGTGAGATATTCTGTATACAAAACTCTGGAATGTTGAAATCCCCAAGAAAATATATAATAAGATTGTGATATCAGTAGTTGTACACTCGAGGGGATCTTCGGCTAACTATTCGGTTATGCTTTCTTGGTTGCCCAAGTCACTGGAGTGTCGCTCAGGTTAGAGAAATTGAGTGCTGGATGTCTTATAAATGTGAAGATCGATTTAATTGAAAAAGTACCGTTCTTCAGTAGTCACCTAGTCACCTGGTTATTTTTGAATTATATTATATGGCACACATTTTAATTATCTATTGTCATTTCACTTCCATATCTTCTGTAAATACCTTGACAAATGACAAAAATCTGAAAATAACTTTTACTATAAAAAAATGGCGTCAAGAAGGTCGACTCTGCACTTCCTATGCAACGCTATCATCAATACATAATGATTATACTCGACACAAGTTACTCCATCTCAGAAAAAGTTGGCTACGAACATGTATAACAAAGGAATTGAATAGATCAGTCAAACAGAATCATACAATTAGTCTCCACCGATTTGATAAGATTGTGATCCAGTCTACCGCCCTATCGACAGTACCGACCACCAAGCAATACTTATGCATTCGAAGTAGACAGACGTACGCTTGTTGAGTTCTCCTGCACGCGTATATCGAAAATATGTCTAATAGATGGATAATTACCGGCGTATAAATTGCTAGCAACAAAAAATCTACTCCCATCCCCTTCAACCCCATCATCCAATTTCTACAACTGCAAAAATTTTTCTGAAAATGATCAGGATCATCTAAAACGTCAAAAACCGAAGTTTATTGAATTTTTACCTTTTCTCGTTTTTTTTATTGCAACTCGACCGCCACTGGACCCACTTCCAAAGACTCTAAAGCTTTTTCAACCTTGGCATAATATTAACCTTGGGTGACTTTTTTTTAATCTAATTGGTACTTTCAAGCTATAGGGAGGCCAACGATTAGCGGACAGACAAACAGGCAAACCAACGGAAATGAGTGACATGTTTTTTCAAGACGTACATGTCATACAGCATTAAAAAAATAGATGTGGATCATTTTGCGATTACAATAGGTACCTTCTCGCCAGTGGTGTAGGAACTAAAGTACTTTTTAATGACTCAAACAGGGATGTGGACTCAATCCATCCTCTACGAGCTTTCTGGCAGTGATAACATTTTTTATTCTTGTTCTCGTTGGTTTTTTAAGTTTTTTTACACACAAGTTTACTACTATGTCAAGGAAGTAAAAGTCTTGTGGCGGCGGTACTACGAACAAAAAACGAAAAAGATGAAATCACTAGAAATATTGATTTTTTCGCTCCAAAGTATTTTTATTTTTTTGAGCAATTCTGAACAAAAACGAGGCTTAAAGACTGTGCACTAAAATTGATAATTTTCGAGGTATAAGTGATTTAACATTTTCGATCATGAAAAAAGAATATGAAAAAACGAGAATGTGTTGCCAAATTCGCCAAATATTCTTCAACAAAAACTCCAAATCATTTTAGGGGGTATTGTTACTGTATTTCCTTGTTTCTTTGCGTGTTACATAGGCAATTAGAAAAGAAAGGTCTATGATAGCAGTGCCGCTAAAATGCTTTGAGATATTATTAATGGATGTTTGTAGAATATTTAGGAGCTGTTCAAGAACTTTTGATATTTTTATATATGACCCCAAGATGGATCCTTTCCCAAGCACTATAGTCCGGCACTAAAATGGAAGAAGGTAACAAAATACACCATACGCCCCTGTAAACACGGTGAAGTCCGCACACAGATATATAGTCGAAATCACGAAAGATGATGATTACATCATCATTTTAGTCTGTAGTAAAGACAAACGACAGCGATTTGTGAATATGTTTAATGAAGTTTCAGATATGCTAGACAGAGACAAACAGAATTTTATTGTCTAAACAAACTGTATTGCTAATATGCATGTATCCGACAAAGATAGACGATGTTTTCATGTTGCATGATCGATCATATTTGAAAGAGGAATAGTTAGGTTATGTTAAAGCAGCTTATGTGGTTATCGAATAATACTTTGGTCTTTGGTGTTGCTGTCTT